GGGGGGGGGGAACACAAAACAAAACACTGTGTCTGAATAAAAATACTGTATGGCCTAATACAGAGACCCTAGCTGAGACTGAGAGATGCTGCATTAATAGACAATCAATGGGTAATTATTTATGAAACACTTTTGGAAATGGTCTTAAAGGTGTTACTGCTTCGAAAGCAGTTGGTGAGTTGTCTTTTTTTAAACAAGAAAGGTAAAAATTATTTATTTTCAAATATATCAGATTGAATTTTGAGTTTTTAAGCAGTGTTGATTTCACAGTATCTTGGGTTTCAGTTTTGTTTTGTATTTTTTTAACTGGCATTAGATTTGTATACATAAAAGAAAACAAACAGAAAAACCCTCGTGCCGCTCATATTGACGTCAGGAAATGTAGATACAGTTCCCTGGTGTTCATGTGACCATTACTAACTGTCAATTTTTTAACTGAATAAATGTAACTCATTTAAAATTTTGCTTTTTGTAGCTTCTAAGGTTCTGAAAGTTTTTTTTTTTAGTTGCTCGATGTCACTTTTATCCACATTTCACAGTGAAGCACTCTCTTACCCTTCCCACAACTGTGACAGAGGCACTCTGTCTCCTCCACCCACAGAACTGACTTGTGAGAAGCTGCTTGATGTCCACTGATCTTCTCTCCCCTACCCAGACAAATAATGACTTGTGAGATTTCAGTAAAAATGCATACTGTATTTTTTTTCCTTGTCTTCTCTCTGTATCTCTTTATAAATTGATGCCCCACTCCAAAGGCTAGAGACCCTTGATTTGTGTATTTCCATTACTGCCTTGGCATTTACTCACACAGCATTTGTTTGCATGTGCACGACTGCTCTGTACCTCCCTGTTCTCCCCAAATGAGGGAGCAGCTCTGCACTGTTTGTGTGGGCACAGGAGGGTTCGCCCTTCCCTCAGTTTCTGGCGTGGGCAAACACCCTCTTTAATTCTTTGGACTCTCCTCCCTGGTGAATAGTCAAGAATAATATTTTTAATATTATTCATAATATTTTTGAAGGAACAGAGCTGATCTGAAATGTCAGCTACACCACTGAAAAAGGAGGGAGACTTGCATTTAGCGGAGAGCACAATGCGTTTAAAGTGCAAGGTTATCACTTTGAAGAGCTGTGTGCGAACATGCAGCCTGGCAGGGTGGTCTAACCCTTTCCCCCTGATCAAAGTGTGAACGCCAATAATAAGAATCTAATAATTTTGAAATTAATTAAATGTTCAAGGAAAAGGGGGAGGAAAGGAAGTGAGCTGAATGCCTGGAGAAAATGCTAAATGTGCTTAGCTGTTTTTACAGTCTACAAGCTCCCTTCTTTCT